TGTGTATATGTCTGATAATATTTATATATGTGTTTTACTCCATATCGTATGCCTACTGTTTGTTATATTGGTGTATATATCTCTATATTGGTAGTATATTGGTGATTTTAAAATTATTAATTAAAAATCAAGTGTGTGCATGTTATGATGTTTCCTTTAATTAATACTTTCATTTGTATAAATTTGGTTACATGATATATAATTTGTATGTAATTTGTATGTTACCCATAAGCTTCATTTATACTACTCACAATTTAGTCTCTGCATTTTTTAATTTAGGAAATAATTCAATTTGGTTCTCGTATTAAAATGTATGAGGATTCATTTTGATTATTCGATTTCAGAATTGACATAATTAATTAGTATTAACAATTAGAGCATGTATTTAGGCTAAATTTCACTTTAGTCCCTTAATTTAGGGAATAATTTGATTTGGCCTTCACATGAAAATACCTGAGGGTCCAAGTTGATTGTTCGACTCAAGAATTGGTTAAAACCGATTAGGATTAATATTAGGGCTTCCATTTTTAGGTTTAGTCCTATAGGTTATTTAAATTTCTTAATTTGATACTCTACGTTAGAGAATGCCTTAATTAATTCACTGGTATAATTAGGTTTATAAGCAATTGTGTGATTGCATTTGGATTTCAAAATAATAAGGCAATGTTCATTTACCGAGGAATTAACAGTGTATCGTCCGCGTTATGCTCAAGGGGTGACCACTGGTAATTCCCAAAGTAAAATGACATCTTTTTTCAAAACTCTGTATTATATATTTTCTTAATTATCAAGGCAATGTCTGTTTATTGGGTTCGATAACGAAGCTTTCGTATAAAATGCCCGAGGGTGGTCGTTATGGGTATTGATAAACTGATAACCTTTTTAAAACTTGTATACATAGTGGATTTTAAATTAAATAAAACCTTGAACTCAAAATTTTTAATTCTTTAAATACAAGGTAATTAACTAAGTATCAATTTATGGGCGTTGTGGGGACGCTAATCCTTCCCCATGCGTAACTGACCCCCGAACCCAATTTCTAGTTTTTGCAGATCCAAATTTGATATTTAAATACATAGGGAGATGGCGTGGGAGGACCTTGCAATTCAGCTTCTTTCTTCTTCTAGGATATTGCAGTAACTTTCTCTAGGACTTTTGATGCGACAATAGTGCCACTTTGAAAGGTGATGGCACTAACGTTTTCCAGTGGGTTTGGCTTGATTTAAGACGATAAATTCCCATGCGATTCCAATAAACTCATAGCTTATGCTAGTTGACTTATGTGTTTGTCAAGCTCTTGAAAGTGAGCTTTAGTCTTGATTCGAAATTTCTCCTAGGATAACGCCAAAAGTTCAACGATAGACTCCAATGACAATTTCGGCAGTTGATATGGCTGAGGTAGAGGTGGCATTGGTTGATATGCTTGGTTTAGTCTCAGGTTTTGTCCATAGCTGAAGTTCAGATGATCCCTCTATCCCATATTATAGGTGTTGGCGTGAGGATTATAATGTCTTTGTGGAGGTTTTAAAAAATTACCTACTGCATTTAGTTGTGTGACAATATCTTCTTCTAACATTAGACAATAGTATGTTGGATGGTCCGACATTGTGCATATTCCGCATAGTCTAGTTGTACCAATTTTACCTATAACAAGAGAATGAACCACATCAATTAACTTATCAATTATATTATCTAATGAAAGTGTATTTATCTTGTGAACCCGTCGAATGGGTTCACTAAAAGGGTGAAACTGTTGAGAGTTGGTGACCATTGTAGAAATTAAATTTATGACCGTATTTGGAGTCATGTTCACAAGAGCCCCTCCACTAGCTACGTCGACTATCGTCATCTCCAAAGAAAACAAGTCTTCATAGAAGTATTGGAGAAAAGTATGTTCAGTTAAACCGTGCTGTGGATAACTAGCACAAAGTTTCTTGAATCATTCCCAATAATTGTATAACAACTCTCCATCCTTTTGTTGGATTCCTAAGATGCTTCTTCTTAATTCACTCGCCTTCACCACATGGAAGAACCTGTCAAGAAAAATTCGAGTTATATCAGCCTATGTTGTAACAGAATTAGGCGATAAGTAAAATAACCAATCATTAGCCGATTTGGCTAAGGAAAAAGGGAAAATATGAAGTTTAATATGATCTTTGGATACTCCCTATGGTTTCATGCTTGAACAAACCATGTGAAATTCAGTGAGATGTTTGTGGGGGGTTTTCACTTGGCAACCCATGAAAGGTTGGCAGAAGGTGGATAAGACATGTCTTAAGCTCGAATGGAGTTTCTCCATGAGAAAAGACGATGCATAACGATTATTGTACGACAAGTGTTGTATTTAATTTTCATATTGTTTGATCAACCATTAAAACTAGTTCTTCGTATGTGAAGTGTACATAAGTGTTGGAAGTTGCGTTAGGTACTGGGTCTAACTGGGTCTAAGTATTATTCTTATTGTTGTTGTCTCTTTTGCCGAAGAGTTTGTGTATTCTACGAGCTAATGCTTCGATCTATGGTTCACAATCTACTAGTTATCCCGAATTCTTCCTGCTCATAAATAAAAACAAAACTACATCAGCAAGTCCCCAAAAATTTTGCCAATTTGACAACCGTCATAATTGTCAAATAAATTCTTTTTTCTCAAATGAGATAAATTAAAACATAGTATAGAGAAGAAAGGGTTAATCCGTAGGGACTTAGAAAATTTAAATGTAATATTGTGTTGATCCTGATCTAAGAAAGCTGTAAGTGAAAAGAAAAGTGATTTCGTAATATAAACACTAGATAAAATGAACTAAGTAAAGAAATTTACAAAGAATGAAAGTAGTGGTTGAAAACAATAATGATGAAAAATAATATCAAGTTTCGCTTTGCCTCAATTCATTTTGATCATCAAAAGCGATTTTACTTCGAGACTCATGCAGTTACAATTTACAAGGCTCAACCCTTGTAACTTATTTTTCTTTTCGGTAAATCAATATTCTCAAGTCTATCTTCAAAATTCAGTTATTACTTGGACTAACCATGATTATCGTCGTTAGCACCAATACAACTTTATGCTCTAGAAAAGTCTGACTCGGGTTATGTTGTCTCAATGAGAATCGTATCCAATCTTAATTTCTCTTAGCGGACCACCACTAAGTGTGTTCATAAGAAGTCAAATTTGCTACCATCCGACTCTTCCTCCCAACTATAAATCAAAACAACATTCAAACCATTGAGCTTTTTTTGAAAATGAAATTGTTGAGATTTTTAAAGGAAAAGGTTGAATGTGAATATAAGTTTGCAGAAAATTAAGAATGATATCTGAAGATATTAAGTGCTTTTCAATTCTCACCAAATGAATTGAGTCATTGCTAAGCCATCAACTAATTAAAATTTTAGCTAAGCATGATGAAAATCATACTTAGCATTTTGGGAAACAAAGTAAAACTTAAAATAAAAGTTGAAAAAAAATATAAACAAACCCGAAAAAACTTTTATGAAATAAAAGAAAAATGAAAAGAAAGTACATTGTCAAGCAATACCTCAAGGGGTATATATAGCTCTAGAATTACCTAAAGATAACATGAAAATTCAAAATAAAAATATCATAAACATAATAAAAAGATAAATCCCAAAATATGCTACTTAAACTTAATTCCTAAAACAACTCCTAAATAATTCTATCATTCATCCTTCAGAAAGTGCTGACTAGACCTTCTAAAAACTGTCACTTCAGACAATGTCATGTCCCACGTCGTACTCATGTCTCCAATTACTATCGAATAATAAAAATATGCATAATACGTCCTTTTTAGTATTGATTCTGGAAAATAAATTCTTGCAAACAAATAAGTAAAACAAAACCAAATCAAAAGTAATAATTGATAACATAAGAAAAGTAACAAGTAAATATCTTCAATTTAAAACACTCATCGTGGCATAAATATTGCAAGCGAAAGTGATTTGATCCGGTAAATCAGAGAACTACGCCAGGGTCCCCTCATTTGATGGTTTAGAGCAAAGCTGAAACGCCAAGTATTAGCATATGTGCGTCTATGAGATAATGTAACCAAGTATTTGAAACGCCAAGTCATTGAACTAATGTGCAGAAGAACGTAGGGCATCACGTGTTCGCATTGTGACCGTCAGGAAAGATCTTACGGGGAACGCAAAAGCGATTACCCCGTCATGCATGTCTACAAGGTCCACGCTGAGAATAACTCTTTGTAAAACGCAACCCCTTGTTTCGGATCGGACCTCAGAACAACTCTTTGTAAAACACAGCCCCTTGTTTCGGGATTTGAACATCCTTTGAAGCAAGGAGTTTCGGGATTTGAACATCCTCTGAAGCAAGGAGGACTGAAGATCGAAAAACCAACAAGGTCACTGATGAACGTACCATTTGCATTGCAGAAACAAGAGTTGCTGATTTTTCGACCTCCTTCAATCCTGGTTCGGCATGCTCAATTGGTTAGTGCCTCAGGCGGTTCTTAGGTAGTATGATGATCTATTACAAATAAAATCTTGGTACACTGTTGAATATTACAAGCAGGATAAGTTTAGCTAAGGCTTTTGTAATAGATTCTCGGTTGTACAACGTTAATCAATGCAATGAAAGGTCGCTTGAATTTTGATGTTTTCTTTTCCTCTTCATCGTATTATTATTACGAATTCATGAATATATACATATATATCTTAAACGTTGTAGATACATACGTAGCAACGCTTGTCTATTTCCTAATGCTGAAGCACATTGCTTACATGTTACGTCCCATGTGGACCTCAAAAAAAATTAAGAAACTCGAGCTTTGAAATGAATGTGTGGAGTGGCAGCTAGTTAAGAAACTCTTGTTTAGTGCACTGCATGATATCCCAACCCAACACAATTAGTGTTATGTTAGAATATAAATTTTGTGCTGTCTGATTAGTGACAGTGATATCATTTCATGGGGAAAAGAAATATCAACTGACCCATCTGCCTATATTATGTTAATGCATACAAACTACAACCAGTCTCCGAATTGAACAAATTGCAAGCGGCAGTGGACATCAACGCCCACCGTCGTCGTTTTCATCATCCAATGGCTCTGAAAAATAAGGTAGAGTTTTCAGAATCCAACTATCCAGAAATGTTTGAAATTATAATTGCAGAAACACCTTGTTCATTTTTTCTCTAAAATATAGAGAATACTTACTATTTCGATCTTCCATCTCTCGAACCAACAGTGCATGTTTAAAAAATTCTTTGGTAGCATCTGCAAGTTCATCATAGCAACCAGTAACCAAACAAACTAAAGCAAAGATGGCGTTCATTTACACCATCGAAGTTATAACAATATTCCAGGCCATGAGTTCAATTACGACAACACACGGCAAAAAACAGTTAAGCCATTTTGTCATGAAGATGGTTATCAATTGAAAATGAAGGTAATTTTAAATCATTTTGTATATTCTAATGGAACTAACCCAACATGTTATGCAGCTTCCGGAACATATAACCTAACCAAGATGAGATAAGTTATAGCCGAATCTGTTGGCAGAATAAAAACATATCTGAACTTAGAGTTCAAGTTCAGACAACTACTGCTAGTTCAATACTAGACGAGTCCAAATTATTTCACAGGGTCAAATGTTCTTTTATAGTGTTAAACATTCACGCACAAGACCTACCATGATTCATTGTCAAAGATGGATCTTGCTCATCTATGGATCCAATTACTTGAGCCGGTGTACCTGCTACCATACTTCAAAACACCCCAAAAAGGCATATCAAACATTTAGTATTTAGTAATTAAATTTCAAACAAAGTGAAATCATGAATATTTGGGGAAGTTACAAAGGTACCTATGTGGAGGAACATGTTTTAATACAATTGAACCGGCAGCAACCATTGCACCTTCACCTATTTTTATATTCCCAAGTACAGTTACACATGCACCAAGTAGTGCAAGGTCACCAACTTTTGGATGGCGATCATCAGTTTCCTTCCCAGTCCCACCCAGTGTCACACCCTGAAAGAAAGCATCGTATAATGTAATTGAACAGCAGGGCCTACCGTACCATAGATGTTGGCAGTTCTTTTCCAACAAGGTGATAAAACACATTAAAAATTGAGACTCCGAGAGATTCGTGGAACATAGAGAATAATCTTACATCAAGGGAATCAATCAACAAGCTCTTTCTTCACACAGAAACAAAAAGGACCTACATTTGTGAACATGCTATCAACTGAGGAAACAGGTCTGAAACATGATGTTACTGGTGAAGGAAACGGATCATCGAGAACTCATGATAGACAAAGGAGATAGGAAGTTCATGAATGGCAGAAGACAAAAATGGAATTTAAGATATCGACTTCAACAAAAATTTAGCCAAAATCAATCCCTAACCCAGTGATATTTGCCTACATAGCCATCAATCCCAAGCTTTACAATCAACCGGTTTTTTTTCAATAAAATTCTGATGAGTTGCACTAGTTCTGTTTTCTATTTTATTGGATTTTAAAAAGTGCAGTGGAGTTTAATAAAGAATAATGAAAACAAAATCAGCTTTTCATGAGATAATCATAAAAGAATTACAACGAAGTGGTTTACATGCATCAATGAAACACAATTTCCTATAACTGCTGCTTCAGTGCTCTTGGTAGGAGGAGATGAGGGGAAATGCAATGAAGAGGTTATTTACCAAGTTGAAGAGATGAAAGTCTAAACTTAAGGAGCTAAACAAAAACCATTTTATTGGTATCTCTGATAGAATGATTGTTAAAAGGGATCAACTGGAGCAGATTTAATTATTCAACTTAACTCATATTGACAGAAGGAATGTGGAGGAAGAGAATTTGATTCAAGCTAAGATAAGGGAATTAGAGGTTGTTGAAGCCTCATTTTATAATCAAAAAGCCAAAGTCCATTGGCTTAATGAGGGGATAAAAATGTTAGATTATTTCATTGACTTTAATAGGGAAGAAGAAATAGAACACTATTAGGCTCTTTCTTGATGATAATGGGAACATATTGGAAGATTTTCATAGTATGTCTACTGAAATGGTGAGGTTTTTTATTGATCTTATTGGGACAATTGAGCAGATTAAAAATGTTCTTGGTTATGATTTGCCTCATGGTGCAAAGGTTGAGTTTGTGTAGGAGGTTACTGATAGGGAGATTAGGGAAACCCTCTCCAGGCAAGGTAATGAGAAGAGCCCTGATCTTGATAAGTTTACTGCTTGGTTTTTCAAAGAGTCTTGGGAGATTGTAAATGAAGATTTCTTAACTTTTGTAAAGTTATTTTTTTTCATAATGTTGACTTATCACATGCCTTTAATGCAACTGTAATTATCTTTATCCCTAAATCTCTAAATACGAGCAAGATAAAGGATTTTCGTTCAATCTCTTGTTGTTTAGTGGTATATAAGACCATCACAAGTATTCTTATGTGTAGATTGGCTAGGTATTTCCCATGAATGATTTCTTCTAGTCAATCTACACTCATCAAAGGTAGAAACATTATGGACAACATCTTATTAGCTCAAGAGATGGTGAAAGAGTATTCAAGAAAGTTTTTCTCCCCTAGGTGTACCTTAAAGATTGACTTGCAAAAGGTCTTTGACTCAATTATTTAGGATTGTTTATGAAAGTCCTTGATGCTTCGAGGTTACCTAAAGTCTTTAAAAGATGGATAAGGGCTCGTTTCACCGCTTCTAAGTTCTCAGTGGTTTTCAACGGAAGTTTAGTGGGGTATTTTAGTGGGGAGAGAGGAGTGAGCAAGGTGATCCATTGTCACCTTACTTGTTTGTAATAGTTATGAATATGCTTTCACATTTGTTGGATATTGTTGCCAATGAGGGGATTTTCAAATATCAACTCAAGTGCTAAAAGATCTCCCTAACTCACTTATGCTTTGTTGATGACCTGTTCATATTTTATCATGGGTCAGAAGATTTTGTGTTAGGGGTGAAGAGTGTTCATGATCAGTTTTATGAAATTTTTGGATTGAAGTTGAATGCTACAAACACTGATTTTTTTTCTTGTGGTGTAGAAGATAGGACTTTCGACAATATTCATGCTACTACTAGATTCAAGATGGGTAAGCTTCCTGTAAGGTATCTGGGTACCTTTAGTAACCAGAAAATTCAATAAGAAGGATTGTTTGCCTTTGCTAGAGAAAATTAAGGGAAAGCTTGGAGTGTGGTCCCATAGGAAGATTATTTATGGTTATAGGGTGTCACTCATTAAGGATGTGTTGTTTAGTATATCTAATTTCTGGCGTAGGCAACTGATTTTTCATAAAGTTGCAATTCAAATAATTGAGTGGTTATGTATACGATTCTAATCGAAAAGGAATGTGTAACGCCCTAATTCGATACGACTTGAGTTTTACCGATTAGAATGTCACTCGCGACCACCGTAGTGGCTAAATCAAAATTTTTCTTTAAAAACACTCATAAAACATCATTTAAAGATCATTCATGTAACATCATTTAAATACCATTAATGTAAGAATTCAAAATGTTTTATGATGTTTCCCGGGAAAGCCAATGTAGTAGTTGATGCTCTTAGTCAGAAGACATTTGCCGCTTTGCGTATGCTAAATGCTTGAATTACGTTAAAGGAAAATGGTGTGTTGATGACCGAATTAAAGTTAAAACCATTATTGTTAGAACAAATTTAGGAGTTGCAAAAGAGGGATGATAAGTGTTTAACCTGGTTTGAGCAATTAGAAAAAGATGAAATCATGGACTTTGAAGTAAAGTCTAATAGGTGTTTATACTTCAAAAACCGAGTTTGTGTTCCCAATGATGATGATTTAAAAAGATATATACTTTATGAAGCACATTGTAGTCCATTAACTATGCACCCAGGAGGGAATAAGATGTATCAAGATTTGAAAGGGAGTTTTTGGTGGCCAGACATGAAAAGAGGCATTGCAGAGTTTGTTTCAAAGTGTCTTAATTTTCAACATGTAAAAGTTGAACATCAAGTGCCTTCGGGATTATTGCAACTGATCTCGATTCCTCAATGGAAATGGGAAAGAGTTATGATGGATTTCATAACGGGGTTACCTTTGTCACCCAACAAGAAGGATTCAATTTGGGTTATTGTGGATAGATTGACCAAAAAAGCTCACTTCATTCCTGTTCGAATGGATTATTCGATAAACAAGTATGCGGAATTATATCTCAAGGAGATAGTTCGACTGCATGGAGTACCAATTTCAATAGTATTTCATAGAGATCCAAGATTTACTTTAAGATTTTGGAAATCTTTGCAAGGAGCTTTGGGTACTCGATTGAACTTCAGTTTCAATAAGAGATTGTGCTATTAAATGTCATGGATCATGGGAAAATTATCTGCCGCTTGCAGAATTTGTATATAATAAAAGCTATCAAGTAAGCATTAAAATGGCACCGTGTAAAATGCCACTCAATTGATATGAATTAAAAGATCGGGAAGTTCATGGCCCATACTTGATTAAAGAAGTTGAAGAAAAGGTTCAGGTAATCCATCACAATCTTAAAGTGGCATCAGACAGACAAAAGTCATACACAATTTAAAGAAGAAATAAATTGAATTTCAAGTAGGCTACAAAGTTTTCCTCAAAGTATCACATTGGAAGAAAGTACTCCATTTTGGGCGTAAAGGAAATCTCAGTCCTAGATTCATTGGACCTTATGAAGTTTCGAAGCGAGTTGGAATTGTGGCATATCAGTTAATCTTGCCACCAGAGTTAGAAAAGATTCACAATGTCTTTCATGTGTCTATACTTCGGAGATATCGATCAGATCCTGTGCACATCATAACTTCGGACGAGATAGAAGTTCAATTTGACCTGACCTACGAGAAAAAACCAGTACAAATTATAGCGTATAAAATCAAGCAACTTAAGAACAAGACGATTCCACTAGTTAAAGTTCTTTGGAGAAACCATAAAGTAGAAGAAGCCACTTGGGAACGTGAAGAAGATAAGAGGAGATAATATCCCCACCTCTTTGTGCAATGAAAATTCGAGGACAAATTTTCTTAAGGGGGAAGAATTGTAACATCGCAAACATCGGGTCAGTTATCAAAATGTAAGAATTCAAAACTTAGTGGTTTAATTGGAATAACTTGAAAATTTCAAGGATTTATTGTGGAATTTTGTTTAGGATTTGTATCAAAATTAGAGTATTGGAAGGACATTATGGTTTTTTCACAAGAAGGAATTTTTATATTCCCTTTTTAAGGGATATAAAATACATGGAGAAGGGAGAAGAAAAATAAAAGTTTGGAACCGTGTTATCTTGTTCCTCGTTGCTGAGAGCTTCAATTTTAAAGGTAAGTGATTTCAAGCTGTTTGTTTGTTCAAACTTCGATTTGGTTTTGAATATTTGGGGGTTATATAAGCTTAATGAAAGATTATGGTTGATTAAAACTAAGGGATAAGTGAAATAATGATGGAAATGTAAAATGAGTTTTTAAGGGAATTGTTGATATGGTTTAGCTTTTGGATTTTTATTTATAAATTTGACTTGTCAAAGGTATAATTAAGTAGTTAGAAATATTAGAAATGATTAAAAACATGTTTGAAAATATGGTATGATTTTCATATTCAAGTGTTCTAGTGAGATTTTGGATATTTAGGAGTACTCAAATGAGAAAAGTTGGTTTTGATGAATGAAGTAGAGTTTAAAGTCATAAAGGGAGATGGAAGTAGGAAATTTAGGTAAGTTTTGGTTAAATTTAAAAATAAAAATGGTAATTTCTGGGCAAGGGTGTCGGTACTGGAAGAATAGTACCGATACTTCAAGGCAAAATTAGTTTGAGTTCAAGGATCAGTATCTGTACTGATTAAGGGAGGTACCGATACTAAAAGGGAAGTATCGATACCAAGAGTAAGGTATCGATACCATTATCAGGTTTGAAATTCCAAAATGTCGAAATGGTATCGGTATCGATACTATAGAAGGGAAGTATCAGTACTATAGTGGGAGTACCGATACTAGTGCGTCTGAAATAATAAATTCAGTGTTTCTTTTAGCTTAAGTTATTATGATTGGTTATAAGCACTATGAATTGTAATATTCGTTTTTGATTGTTCTTGTGTAGACATTGAACAAAGTTAAATTCCGGACAACTCAACGTTATAGATTATCGATCAAAAGTGATAAGGAATTCGATTAGGAC